CATTCATAATATTTACTAGAAAACATTTCTCACCTCAAATTTTAATAACACTAAAACCACCATACACACGTCCTACAACTGATAAACCTTTTAATTTGACGCTTGATTAAGTTTAATTATCGGACACAATGTGTTGTAATTACCTATTCATACGATATCAAACGTATTCCCTTGTTTAATTACTGTAACCGCACTGTACAAACAGAATTATTTCTAACAATTGGATAGCTCGCACACCTAGGAACTCATCGCGGAGTTAATCCAAAGTAATTGACTCTCGCTGAGAACGCAATAAAATGTTATTGAGTATACCAATAAAGTTCACAATTAATACCTCTACTAGTCCATATCTATAAATCTTAAAACAATTATATAGCACGGTGTTAGTATAGGATAGGTATAATGTTTGATAGTCTAGTACGAGTAGTGTGGGCAGTAGCAGGGTTTCAGATTTGTGATAGCTAATTTTCTTTGTAGTAACTTATTGTTGAATATCTAACGTTGGTTTTAATATTGTTAATGAAAGAAACAGCCTATATTCTTTTTCATTTATATATTTTACTGCTTGTTATATTCAGCTATTGATTCGGTGTATTTTAATAGACATAATACCTTCATTCTCCAATAACCCTAATTTAAATTTACTACAATAATAAAAAAAATACTACCAAAATATAATATGAACGCTGACAAATAATGTGGCCGAAATTTTATATTTTGTTCTAATTTTGAAGCTTATAAAACAGCTATAATATAGAAAAGTAATGAAGGTGGAGGAGACTCACCTCTTTGCCTACTCTGCAAGTGAAAATATATATAGTTATTTAAATACCATAAAGAGGAGTCTTCAAATTTGTTTGGGTACATTAGTTTTTGTCGCTGTAATAAGTTTATTTTAAAATGGAATCAATAATTTGGACACCCCTATCCTTGGAAGGTAAAGACTTTTTAGCAGATCAGTTAAGTAGTGATGACTGCTGGAAGTAAATTAAACATTTAGTGTTACTGAACTACTTTCCATCATATGCACTGTATTGACTTTGCGAATACAATAAAAAAAAAATGTTAAAAATCAGTATTTGATGAAAAACTCTCATACTTAATTAAAATTAAAAATATATGAAATCGCCTTTAATAGTTAATGGTTATTCTATGCCAAAATCGTGACATTTAATTTAAAAGAGATAGTATCTTCTTCCTCACATCGAACGTCGTTGAAGCTCTTAGACCGTAAATAAGTCTGGCATTTTGAGAACCTAGCTTGGTATTTTACGTGCATTGGCAAATACTTAGGTACAATGCGACAATAAACTCCATTGATGCCTAAAGGTGCTAAATGAAGGCCAATAGGTGTCGTAAATTATACTTTATGGCGTCCTCTGGACGGTCTACTTTCGCATGTTGAGAAGGTCGCAGACGTGACTCCGTAGTGACGCCACGTAAGGAATGGCGACTCACGATTTGAAAACAGATTTATGATCGGCCACGATAACGGGCTTGCGATAAAAATTTTAACCATTCCTAGGAGCACATACTAAGTGTACTGGTATGAGTGAGACTTATAGGTAAATAGGTGTGTGTCAGACGTCAAGGAGATTTATATCGTAAAACCAAAGTTATTACTGGTCAGATAGGACTTCAAAAAATGTAAAACTGCTATTATTTAATACCCAATATAGATGTTTTCTATATATCTTGATGGTCTTACAATTTTCAAAATACAAACTTAGCAATTATTAGGGTTCCTCACCTCAAAGAGAAATATCTGAACTCTATTAGGATCACTTTGTAGGCAGTCTCTATTGTAAAACCTTTTGTTTAGGGAACACGTGGAGATATTGACTTAAAATCAAAACCATGTGCTCAGATCTACAGTACATTTAAAGCTGTATGTTAAAGAATACGATTTCTTATGCAGCTAAAGCGCATATTACGACACTCTCAAGGAAATCAGTGTTGGTGAGGTCCCGTTGACCTGAAATTATGGTTGCATTGCATTGTTTCATAGCACCAGTTCAAGGAACCTGAAAACTATACAATTGGAATTAAATCATGAAAGATATACTCTTATTGTCCAAATTTAATATTGAAACTACTAATTCAAAGATGTTCCATATGAGAGGGCATGATGATACATACATATTTCATATCATATTTGTTTTTCACAATAAATAAATTCTAATTTACAGTATAGAGACCTCAGAGCACGAGTGTAAATCACTCTCGACAGATTTTATTATATATTTTTGACGTAGACAATATTTTTAATAAATGGGTCATAAGCGAAATATTCAAAATAAAGACCCATGATAAACCCGCATATACTAAAGTTAATGTGTCCTGATAAATTATCATATTTTGAATACAATAAGCAAATGTCAGTTATTTTAAATATTTGTCAATCCGATCTATACAGCTACACTTTGAGTAGCCAATTGGAAAAGTTACTTGAATAATTTAACAACAAAAAAGCTAATTCGGTAATAAAATTAATCTGTCGAAAGCTGATTGCACAGATATCGTGCTATCTGATTTCAATGAAATCTCTTTGAAAATAGTCTTATTCCACAATTTTCTCTATATACCGATTACACTTTATAATTTTTTTTTTTTTTATCATTCATGTTGTTGTTAAGTACCTATTTCATATATTTTGGTATACTAAGCAAAGGCAACTCTAAACATCTTTAAAAAAATATAATACACAATACAGTTCAAATATAATGAACACAAATCATTATATTTGAACTGTATTTTAAATCATGCTTAAAATAAACTTTAAAATATCCTAAAAATATTTTGTATACAAATTATTATTTACTAGTTATATTGAAGTCGACGCTGCCTTCTGTTACTCTTATTATATTAGTTATTATTATTATATTAGCTGTAAGATTTTGAAAAAAGTACTTAATACATGATAACTGTAAATTAAGCTAGCCATGCTAGCAGATATATATATACATCCTATCCTATCCATTCATCTGAAAATAAGTAATGTCTGGTGTTTTGGGAACTTACTCTAGGAAATCGGCGCGAATCTGATCAAATGTCAAAGTGACAGTTAATTGTCACATAGGGATAGCCTTAAAGTAATCGATAGATAGAGATACCATATTATTTTCATTTAAGATAAGTAATCAGCTTAATACTTCTGCATATCCGTTATAGGAAAACAGTGTGATTATTAAAGGAAAAAAAACATAGGCAGCCGACCACAATCGCTACCTATCCTAGATCATGCCCTGATTGTTGTTTCGTGTCACACGATTCCAAGCGATAAGCTCACGAACTTCAGTCGTGGACAATCGCTATTAACCTGTTCATGATTTTAGTCACGATCGAGCCTCTTTTGTTATGATTTATTTGATATACTAATGCCTACTTTTTATTAATAAAAAAAAACTGTGAAAAAACAAAAATAAAATATACTTATTTTATCGTAAGATAAAAAATAAACGTAGGGTGTTCTCAACTTGACGAAAAACCAACATTGAAAAATCTCGCACACATATGTTAGGTATATGATTATGTAATTGTAACTTATATATTATATATAATAATAGCTGTAATTGTGTTTAAGATATAGTTATAGAATATAATATCATGTAAATAATCATTATATTATCTCACCCGTGTATGAAATCTCAATATTACTTCCTACAAACAAACAAAGTTAGAAACTTTACCTCTTTATAAGTATAAATATCTACTTCAATTGATATAGGTAATAGCGCCGATATATTCATAGAAACGAATTCCTGTCGTAATACAAATATTGACATGATGTTCCAATTGATTCATATGTCTTCTGTAAAATAAAACTATGGACGATGAATAAATGGTATAACTTTGTTCCTCGGTTCTCAATTTTGTGATATTGTTTATTTCTGTATAAGATTACCACTATAAAAGATTTTTTGTGAAGATTCCGAAAAGTTGAGAATTTCTTCTTTTTTGAGGTTAGTTAAAAAAGGGTTTTATGCTAATTCATAAAATTCTTTTTCATGAAATTTCTATATAATACCCACATACATATTCGCTGCTATAAACTTATTTAAATCTCATATTTTAATCTGCTTATATTGATCCTGATCGAAGGAAGGACCTCAGTTAGAGGTTGAAAAATTATGTGAAGTTGAATTTATTGATCATTATAATAAATAAATATTAAATACTATTCGTTGGTAAGCGATCGACTTTCCCAATATGGCTTTTCTAAGGAAATAAATTGATTAGAAAAAAAATGCAATTTAACTGAAATTTCAGACATAAATATAATCGTGTGCATAAATATTTTAGAAGAGTAAAAAAAAGTATATCTACAGCCAGTTGTTTTTATTTTATAACATAAAGTTCTTATATGCGATGCCATCATTGCTTATGTATTCCCGGAATTACAGTGTGTCAGTCATGTATTTAAATAATAATAATATTTATTAGATCAAAAAAAAAACAATTTACATGATTTTCGTTACATGTACCTATTGTACCTATTTAGTTAGCATCTGCTGCTAAACTGAGTTAATACCCATCTTTCAACATACAGCGCCTCAAAACCTCAAATTATATAAGTAAATAAGAAAAGTAGGTATATAAGTAAGCAATAGAAGGTGAGGTCCGTTATATCTGCAATAAATCACATATGTACAGATAAATAACTGACCTCAGAAAGAAGGCCATAATGTCGTAGGTACTATATCTCACATAGAATTTAGATAAATTATGACTTGTATTTAAGCATGGATAATTTTATAGTTAAACATATATCATTGAATGACTATGCTTGATAAATTTAATCGGTAAAGATAATTTTAGTTTTCAATAAAATGTGAGAATGAATTAAAAATATATAAGAAGAGAAAACGACAATTACTTCTTGTAACTAAAGTTAAAATCTTTCTTGAAAAAAAAATATAGAGTTATATGCTATATAATATAGATACTATACATAAAGGACTATCATAATGCTTAAAAAATAAATATAGTATTCAACTCACATAAAATTTATTAATCTTCAATATCTTCTGACTCATGATTGCTTCATAACTGTAATAATATGGTGTACCAACATGTATATACTCGTGTCAGCACCATGCAAAAATCAATGTTCGCACACTATCGATAAAAAGCTTAAAGTCAACGATCGCGTTTTAAATATCACTAAACAGCAATTTAGCATTGATAAATTCGAAACAGCGAATACGTTTAGTTATTTCAGAATTTAATTCAAACTTGGAATCACTCGGTCGCCATCTTGGTCCGGCGTGCGTACGCGCCTGCGCGCCGCGAGCACCGCGAAATTATAGCCAGAGAGCGCACACCCGCTCTCGCGTTTAAAAATAAAATAAAACATCGTCATTTTGTGCACGTGTGTGTGAGGGCCAGTATTTATTTATAGGCTAGTAGCTATGTAAATATAACGAACAACGAAGTCCAGTTCAGTATTTCTTGCGGTTTGCGAAACGTCTTAATTCGAGCGGCTCACCAACCTACTTTGTTCTACAAAGCGCATTAAATTAGCTCACAGACACTGCAGCCTGTGGTTATATACAATAAATTATAGTTAAAACTCTTCTCTCGCTGAACGCTAATACTGATTGAAAAGCAAAATCATCTGATATGGCTAACATAACAACTAAGGCTATAATACAATTGAAATTCTTGATTGACATTTCATGTGATGCGTATAAAGTCGTCCAAGGGCAATGTATGTACATTCTTCATTTGCCTACAATCCAAGGTCCATGAACACGAAGGTGCTCGTTAAAAATTCTAAACCGATTTTTTGTAAATGACAGTTATTATTTCAAAACGAAATACATATATTTTTTGTATATATAGGTATTTATAACCGATGTACAATATAGGTAACGTACGTGAAATATTTCCTAATGTACCTATGTAAATTATATTGCCAAATTAAGTTGTGCCTATATTCAATCTGATAATTCTTTATTGTCTAGAACTGCGCGTTTAAATAATTAAAGTAAAATCAGTTCCATGACACGAACATTCATAATTGATTAGTTACAAAAGAATAATACTTTTTCTCGTGGCGAATCGAAAACAATAATAATAATATCAACGCACACTATTTAATTATATTAAAACTGTTTTAAAGATTGAATAACTATGTTTAATTAATTTATGTCACTAATTAAGTAAATTTAGAGTTTTTTCGTACCAAAACAATACTTTTGGCGGTCTATTATTAAAACGCAAAAAATTTCTTCTTTCTAGAAAGATGGCAATAAAATTGGCTTTCTAGAAATAAAAATTACATTTTGACATGGATATCTTTGTGAATGCAAAAATTGTTAAAAAAAATATTATATACACATTGTTAAAAAATAAAAATAATAAAATTATAAACTCTGTTTTTTTATATAATTATATAAAATAAAAAAGGGCAGTTACATTATATTCCAACTTTTTGTACCTTTATCAAACTAAGAATAATTACAAATAATAAAAAGACTTAAGTAAACGAGTGATCTTCAAACTGTTATACGAATAAAAATAATTTTATTGGCATTCATATATAAAATTACTAATAGAAGTAAGAAGAATTAAACGAAAGAAGGACAATCATAATCAAAGAAAAATAACATCTAATCTATGTTATGATTTGTATTTTCGATTAAATTATAGCAAATTTTCACATTCATAATGTTATTTGTAGAGTTGTATTTTTTAACAGTACCTACGCCATTTGAACAGAACTCCTGGTGCCTATCAATGTAATTAGTTGGAAAAATATAATAAAGATAAATGGTGGTTATACATAAAAGATAATACCTAATATCCGGGCCGAATATTAAGGCGTCGTAAGGCTTAGTGCAGACGAGCGGATTAAGCTCAATATTGCGCGGCGATATTTCAAAGCGTACGGTCGACGACCCCGCCGCCGCCCCACGCCGTTCGGTCGGTTGTGTGACTCCCACATTAGGGCTGCGACCCTGAAGAATATTTCATCAACTTTTCATAATTATATCTTTGTTAAAAACGTACCTATACATAATATACTTTTTTTATTAAAATAACAATTTTTTTTTTACTTTAGTTATACTTCGTTGATTATATAAATTACTAGCTTTTTTCCCGCGACATTGCTCACTAAATGTTAGCCTATGTCATCCGTATATGATGTAGTTTACCGTAGGTGAAGAAATTTTTAAAATAAATCCAGTAGTTTCGGAGCCTTTTCGTAGCAAACAACTGAATCTTTTCTCTTTCTAATATTTACTAGCTTTCTACCAGCGGCTTAGCCCGCGTGATCCTTAGGGAATTGTTTATTTGGATATCGCTTCTTATCACGGATATAATTACAATGATATATTGAATAATAAATAATGAAAGCTATGGTTACCTTTTCAATTCCCTATAAAAAGACAAAGAGAAACGACTGCGTTTTTCTTTATAACGATTTTTTGAAGTCCGTTTATTTTTTTATGTATTTTTTATTTCTTTCTTTTTTAATATAATAGAATATTAGTAATCGCCGATCAATATTACTTATAACTTATAAGAAATGGACACCGTCGTCTGTATTTAAACATACTTATATTTAACGAATAAACATTTTCTGTGATGGTAGCAGTTCTAACCTAACCTAACCGACTTATCTTGAAGCAGTTCTTTTATTAACCTACTATTCTGGTAATAATTCGTTTTGTAAGTCATTAAGTAGGTTTTCTCTGATTGTTCCCTAACTACCATTTCAATCGAATGTCTAATTTACAGGAGTAAATGAGAAAAACGTTGTCAAATATATAAACACACATACATAATTAACTACAAAATATAGCACAAGTGTTAAGAAATGCATATAGGCTAACATATATGAATATTGCGCCTATTGCAACAAAATAACATGCATACAGGTTAAATTGATAACCTCATTTCTTTTTAGTTCTATTAAAAACGTACAGGTCAAATTGAGAAACTCTTTTTTTAAATAAGTTAATGATGTACACGTGCAGTTACACTGACTTCCTTTTTTCAAGATGGTAAAAAGAAGGTGATCAATTTTAACTCCGTTTATAATTCGCGTTTATTCCTTTTATTATATTTATTCCTTAATTGTTTAGTCCTTTTATAAGTAGTTTAAATAGTTTATATCTACAAAACTACTAAACCGATTTTGATGAAACTTGTAGTGTACCCTAAGTAATCGAACAAACAAAAGAATCATTGCAATGCGACGTCTAGTTTGTGAGATATCCGTACATACATACTTACATACATACATCTATAAAATTTTGCACACGTGTTATAAGGCCATGCAGACCAACATATATGAATATGACGCCATTTCAACGAAATTACATACACACATCTTGAATTGATAACCTCCTTTTTTGAAGTCGATTTTTATATTTTGTTGTCCATATACTTATAGAAAAAATACTTCTCATAATTTACATATTCCTATAAAATGTCTACTTAATTTTGAATAAATATGTTTCTTAAGTATGATACGAATAGTATTAATTTATTGTAATATATTCTCTATCACTTAATAAATTAGATGCTTAAATGACAAACTCGTAAATAAAGGTTTTATTCGATTCCATCTTTGACACTTGACGGCCCTATGTAACTCTCGAGTTAGCTTTTTAATTTTACCTCGCAGCTGACTGCGGCCTACTTAAACACACCCTTAGAAACTGATATCCACACAAATTCTGCATGTGAGATCTACCAAGTGTTTTACGACTTTCTAGAAATACGGTGCATGGTGCATTACAGAATGATAGGTGTTTATTCAACAAGAAGATATGAAAATTATTTTTTTGCATCGAACACGTAATAATAAATAATTGCCTACTATTTCTTTAATTACGACGATCCATTTCATCCATACCACCTGTCTGATTTAAAAAGGTTTTTTAAATACATTAAGATACGTATCAATTCTGTTTATACGAGAATCTTGTAAATAAAAACAATGTTACGTCTCTATCGTGAAAGGTGAACAAAACGCATCGTTTTTATTTTTTAAATCTCGTGAGAATAGAAAAAGATAATAATTTATTTGGCTAGTGTTTTCTTTAAAGAAAAAAGATCCTATCTAAATGTTTGCTGGTATAACTTATTTGAGATTTGTATCTACAGTTGCGTTGTAGGTTAACACCTTTGCCACGAAATGTGTAGACAAAAAAGGATTTAAATCTTTAACCTCGTGTAGGTATCTTATTTGTGTATAGAAACGAGATTCCCCTTCGAGGAAGCACCAACCCCCGCCCTATAACGAACAATAAATATGTCAGTGGAGATATTACAAGCCCACATCTCGTCCCTGTCTTAAGTAAATTATTACTCTGCAAGTTTTCCTGATGAGTTCTCTGTGTCTTATAACTATTTACATTTTATTGCTTCTTCGGAATGGGAACCATTTTATTTTCGTAAGCTTTAGTGTAATATCAAAACATTTTTCTTATGGAAAAACTAAGGTTACTGATATGTTACTTCTTAATGACACTACAAATACATACTTATTTCGAATTAATATTGCATTACTGTAAGTTTCAGATTTTAAATTCATTTATTTGTATAAAATTTTATTCCGGACGGTGTATTAAGAAATCAATAGTCTCAAGAAAAAAGGTTAAATAAATTTAATTAAAAAATTATATAACGAAGAAATAAATATTGCCCGCAGTCTGCTACTACTTAAGTAAAGTGGCTTCAAATTTCTAATAGCTTTTTGTCTGAGTTGAAAACTCAAACAAAGAAGTTTTCTCTCAAACAACAATCACAAGAGTGTCTAATTTTTTTTTAATGAATATGTACTTTATCATTGTCCGTTCTCATTTCTTTATTTGTATGAGTTTCACTTAATGATACCGTTAACGAAGTTAAGTTAAATTAATTGGATAGGCCAATAAAAATTGCACAAGTTTTGAGGCAGGTGTTGAATAACATGTAATTACTTAATTAAATTGGACGTAGCAACTAAAAGTAAATATTTACAATTAATTACAAAAAAGTCGTACTCGTCTAATATGCTAGTAGTAATAATTCTTGAATTTAAAATGTAAATTTTCTAACTATTTTTAAGTGTTAGTTAAGTATTCCGCGTTTTTGTGATAACTTTTTAATTTATTCCGTCGGGTAAAAACGTTAGGAAAGTAAACCCGAAGCGGCCTTATCGCCCTGCGTGATGGAATCCAGTAACCAACTAAAGTTTCAATTTAGATAAAACACGCTCTCTCAGAGCCCGTCGACAGATTTATTATTTCTATTCAAAGTCTCGCTTTACAAGAAAATATTGCTTTTTAAAAGAGTTTTTTATCCAA